CCCCCACCCCACCTTATTCCAGCCCACAACTACCCTCTGGCAAGGCCGCAAAACCACTCTCACAGATGTTGCCTGCCCCTCTGCTGGGCTTGCTGGACCTCCCTGACCAGGCCTCAGACCTGGGTCCCAGTCTGGCTGCCAGCGGAGGGGTGTGTGTGTGGGACCAGCCAAGTCTCCCCCTCCCGGCCCCGGTCGGGGCCGCCAGGGGCAGAGCCGTCCTCAGCGTCCTAAAATAAAGCACCCGGACAAAGCAACATCAGAACGGAATCCAAGTGTGGGGCGTGTGGATATCGTGGCTTCAGACTCGGGTAAAGGAGGGAAATGGCAGAGTACCTCAAGTTTGGAGCTAACCACACAAGTTGGTACCGATGGCCTCCGGTGAGTGACATTCAAGGCCAAGGGCCCGCCCAACCCCCCGGCCTTACAGCTATGCCGTCCCCTCCCTCCACACTCACCCTGGGGCAGGGGAGGGGCGCGGAGGTGGCCGCTGGTGGCCAGGAAGGCCCTCTGGCGGAGAGGTGACCAGCTCCGCCCGAGAAAGCAGGGTTTGGCCACACTGCTCCTCAGGGGCCGGGCACTGTCCCCACACCTCAACGCTGGCCACCACTTCTCGTGACCCCAGAGGCTACAATCAGCCCGGTGTCCCTCCCGCTGCCAGGTGGACCCGCTTGAGACAGCCTGCAAGGGTCGGCCAGCCGCCGCTGGTGGCAGCCGGGGCTCGCCCCCCCCTCACCCGTCCTCGGCCCAGGAAGCACCGGGGGGCCCCGCCCTCACCCCTTCTTTGCCTTCCGGCCTCCCCTCTGGCCTTTCTTTCTTCACTTTACATACTGCAGAACTGACATTTTTTGTCGTTTGCAGTTCCATAGATTTTAAGGACGTGTGTCGATTCACACATCTACCACCGGGAAGTCAGGACCCCTGCCCGCGTCATGCTCTCCCCTCACCCCCTAGCCCCTGGCCACCACGGATCTGTTGTTGGCCGTCACCCCGGCTCTGTTCTTCTTTTTCCCAGTGTGTTATATACGTAGAATCGTAGCAACTAGAACCATTTGAGACCGGCCCCTTTCATTCAGCATAATGAATGAGATGCCTTTGAGGTCCATCCAAGCTGCTGGGCCAGTCAACGGTCTTCTCCTCTCTATGGCAGAGTAATATTCCATGGGATAGACGTGCCGGCTTGGCAAGCCAGCCATTTGCTGAAGGACCGCCGGGCCGTTCGCAGAGTCTGACAATTATGAACGGACCTCAGTCCCGCGCCATAGGGCCGGCCCTCGGGCCAAGCCCACCAGGCCTGGGCTGCATCAGTGACCCCAGCTCAGAGCGACAGCTGCCTTCCTCCGCCCGGTGACCCCTCGCCACCAACGCGTGCACGATGCTCCCCTCCGCGCGGCAGGCCTGAACCTGTGAGGCAGGGGCCGTGGAGCGTGGCGGGGCCAGCCCGCAGGGACTGGGTACAGAAAGGGGACCGTGGTGTCCCGGGCTCCATTTGACATCAGCACCGCTCTTGGGGGGGGCCGGCTTTATCCACAGGCACCGCCATCAGGTACCCGGGCTGGTGGGACCCGCTGTGGCCTCCCCCCAGCCCAGCCCCCAGCAAGGAGCTCATCACCAACAAAGGGCCCTAGGGCCTCCCAGGGACAGGGAAATCTCCAGGGAGAAGAATCCCCTGCACCTGCCTCTGCACAGCTAACTCCTCTGAGCACTAAGTTCTGTTCCTTCTTCACCCACAGCACAGGGCCCTGCCTGGGGAGGGCAGGTGGGGGGCTGTATCACTCCCATACACCCGCCAGCCCCTCCACAGGCCCTACCCCCCCAAGGCAAGCCACGTACACGGCCCCCTCAGATCTGCCCTTGAACTTGCTTCCCTTCCCACTCCAGGTGTTTTTCAGCCGGGCCTCACCTTTTTTTTTAAATGTTGATTTTATTTATTTTGAGACAGACAGAGGAAGAAAAAGAGAGAGAGGCAGAGCGAGAGGGAGAGAGAGAAAATCCCAAGCACGCTCCGTGCGGTCAGCATGGTGCCCGACATGGGGCTCGATCCCACGAACCGTGAGACCATGACCTGAGCCAAAATCAAGAGTCGGAGGCTTAACCGACCGAGCCACCCAGGCGCCCCCAGCCTGGTCTCATTTTAACCTAAGTGAGGACAGAAGGCACCTTCCTTTGCCGTACCCCCTGCATCGCGTCTGAACCAGATGTGCGTTCGAATCCCGATCCTGCCCTCTTACCTGCTGTAGGGCTTGGGGCAGCTGGCTCACTGCAGCTCTCCCAGCCTCAGTTTCTGCCCCTGGGAAATGGGGGCCATGAGAACACTGGCTCCGTGCATGCGCTGGAGGATAGGGCGCCAGGGAACTCAGACCCCTCTGAGTCCCTGGGGGCCTGGGGCAAAGTGCCCTGCCCGCCCACACTCCCACTTCGCTCTCTTCCTTCAGCCATTCAGCCGTGCACAATGGAAAAAGCCTGCCCCATAGGGCGGTTGCTTCCTTCCCAGGGCCAGCTGCCTTCGAAGGGCCCCCAGGGCTTCCCCCAGGTGAGGCCAGCTGCCCGAGGGAGGCTGAGGGAAGGGGCAGCGTGGAGAACAACCAGCCAAGCAAGGAACAGGTGCAGGGACATTGCAGCCTGCAGTCCCCTAGAGCCTGAGTTCAGGACCCTCTACGTTCTGCCCCTGGCTGGCCTCTCTGACCTCAGTTCCCAATAAAGCCAGCAAGTCGCTGTCCTTCTGAACAGTGGTTCCCATTTCTGAACCACTGCCCCCGGGAGGGTCCCCCCTGCTCTCGGTCCCCCCACCCCGACACTCCTGGTTCTTTAAAGCCGCACGGCCCCTCCCTCCGGGCAGCTTTCTGGGACACAGCCCCTCCCGACTTCCGTGGGTCTCAGTGTGGGCGGCCCCTGGTCACTTCCAGCCCACAGGCCTAGTCACGTCATGGGCACCTGGGCTCCTGGAGAGCCGGTGATCTGAAGGCAGGGTTGTTATCTCGTCCAAGCATCTTCCCGCTAGGCCTCGGCACGCGGGCAGGCCCTTCATCGGCACAGGAGTGACAGTTGGGCTGCGGGAAGCAGGCCTCCCGAACCCCACCCAGAACACCCAAGATCACGCTATGTTAGACGTGGCAGGGCCCAAGCGGGGGCTCTGTTCCAAACACACACTGGACAGGGCAGAAAGCTGAGGCCCAGAGACGGCAGGGTCTGCTTCGGGCCACACAGGAGCTGGTGGCAGAGGAGTACAGGAAAGGGGTTTCGCGGTCAGGCAGGGCTGGGTTTGAATCTGACACCTCCTCCTGGCTGGTGGTCTCGGACAAGCGGGTCCAGGGTGCCGAGGACACAGGAGAGTGGGTGCCAATGTCTCGGCGAAGGGCCCGGCCCATGGGGTGCCCGGGAAGCGGCGGGGGTCAGGACAGGCGGGGAGACCTCACGATGGCCGCCTCCACCTCCACGAAGGCTGCAGCCACCGCTAGACGGCCAGCGCCGCGGGCCGGGGCTTTCTGTAGGTCTGGCTCGCGGGGCTTGGGCCACTTCCGGGCATGGGAGGGGCTCCGCAAATATTTGCGACCGAGTAGTGAGCTGGGGAAGGGTTTGAGAGACCCCCACTGCTGGCCAAGCTCTGACTCCCTGCAGAACACACACACCCCCACGCATCAAGTGCAGGGACGTCTTGAGGCCAGGAAGAACATCCCTAAGAGCTCCCAGTGGCGGTAAGACAGAGAGGTCATGACTACACGGAGGCCGGGAAGGGAGAGGTCTGTCAGGGGTACAAAGTGCCAGGGGAGAATGGGAGGGGGGGCGGGGAATATACGGCACGATTAGGCCAACTTGGGCTCAAACCTCAACTCTTTCTCTTACTTGTCTGTGACCTCAGGAAACTTTCCCAACCCCGCTGAGCTTTCATCTCGTCCTTGGTGAAACCACACTGCTACTTCTGAGCTCACAGGGTTGTGAGGAGACGCTGAGCACAGGCACTCAAGGGGCCTGGCACCTGC